CATCCCATAGGGCTGGGATATAGAAACCATGCCTTAGTGACAGGTCTCCTGCTCCCTGGACTCATCCAATCCCCAACCTTCACAGGACTTTGCCCATCTGTTCCCAGGCAGTGGGCTGCAGGGCAGTCAACCACACCTGAAAGTTTTTCCCCTGCAGATTTTAGCCATGTTGGAGGTGCTGTCTGCCATTGCCAAGGGGAACACGGTCTCATCCACATCTTTAAATCCACGTCTCTCCTGGATTGCACTCATCCCTTTCTAATTCCTCAAGGTGGAGAGATCTCCCCAGGCTTCCCTTTCCTTCTTTTTTCTTTTTTTTTTAAGTTTTAGCAAGGATTTATTTTAGTAAAACAGGATGAAGTAAAGAGAAACAGTGAAAGGGAAGTAGAAACATCTGCTTCATAGGCAGATTGGAGTGAAGAATACTCAAAATGGTGGTTTCTGTCTGGGAGATTTCATGTTGAATTCCTACCTAGACACCTGGTCATGTCTCCTAGCAACCCCTAATCATTTTGCTAAGTTTCCAAGCACAGATAATGGGTTTAGGGTAGGCCTATCATCCCAAACATGGCTAAAATGGTTCTTATCATTACTTCTACTCAAAACACAGGGACAGCAGGTATAACTTTAGGGCATCCAGTTTGCCAGATAAGCCCTTTTATTTTCTCTCTACTTATTCAAAGAATTTACAACTTTTTAACGTTTAAAAGGAGAAGGGAAGGTAATTGGAGACCAGAGTGACACTCTGATTTTTTAGTTTTTTTCTTTCTGGCTGTTTTAATTCCTGAGTCTGGTCCTTTTGATATATTTTTCTTAATGATTTTTTAATTTCCCTGTCAACTCATCTATCTATCCTGCCTTGAATGGACTCCACTTTGGAATTTTGCACAATAAGGCTTTGACAACTTGTTTTGTTATGTTCTGAGGATGCAGAAGCTCCCTTTTCTGATCAAGCACCCCCAGGCCTGCAATAGGGCCTGGCACGTGGTATGTACTAGAAGAATTTGCTGACTAATCATTGTCACCTGCTGGATGGGAGTTTGTGTGCTGGTGGCTCACCCTGGGATTCTAAGGGACTTGCCCAGCTTTAACAGCCATAACTCATTCCAAATCACTATATCTCTGACCAGGTCTCAATCCCAAGTTCCAGGTCATATTGACGGAAGTTCAGCTTCTCCTAAGAGATACCAAAGAAAAGATGATGTATAGTAGAGTGCTCATTTTTAACTGCCTTTTCCTCCTATAACTCTGGAGACAATGCAATTTATGAAAAGAATGTATGGGTGCTGGGGTTAGAATGTCTTGGGTCTAGATCCATCTTTGCCTGTGATCAGCTGTGTGACCTTGGGCAAATCACAGAACCTCTGTTCATGTGTTACATATGACAAGAAGATGATGTTCCCAGAGGGCTTGGTACAGAGTAGACAGTCAGCACACCATGGATGAAGTCCTTTGCCTGTGGTCTAGCACCGTCCCCGCCTTAGCAAGGCTGTAAGGACAACCATGTATGGCACATTATAAACAAGCCTCACTCCCATGGCAGCAGGTTCCCAGAGGGACCTGGCCAGAAGCAACACTTTCCTTCCAGGAAAGGAGAGGAAAATGTTAGTATTGGAGTCTAATTCTTGGCTGCCTTGAGCTATGTGACTTGTGACCAGGTCTAACACCACTGAAATAACACCCTTTTAGGGGATCAGGGGCTAACTCCACAGGAAACTTTTTTCAGCTCTCTCAAGAACTCTCCAGACCCTGAAGCATCATCCTTGCTATGTCCAAGCTAAGAAGGCCCTTTGTGTCAGCTTCAGTAATCACTTTTTGATTGCGCCCTTTCTGTGGGGCGTTCATCTCTGTTCCCAAGTCACATCTGTGAGTGACATTTCTTACTCATTATGGACATGCTACAGCCTTAATTGATTTCAAAGTTTTTGAACAAATAGCCATAAATATTTAAGCCTCTGCTCTGCCTATTAGGGAAAATGTCATCTAAGGTAATTATTTCACCTCTGCCTGACAGGAAGATTTACACAGAGCATAGAATTATTTTAACCTGCAAGCAAATTCCAAAAACCTTGAACCTACTTGGTCTTTTCTTATACTGCAAGTATTCTTGAGATCAAATATGTCAAATTCCTGAATACTAGGAGGAAAAATGCTGACCAAAGGTGAAACAACTTACAGGTATCATTGATTGATTTCACAGAGCAGTGAAGCTGTGTTTTCAATGAGAGTCAACTGAAAGCTGAACATAGCTTGTGGCTCCTGCTTGTTTGCAGGAATGTTACCTTATCTAAACTGTGAGACTGGAGGGGAGGGAGACTGTCAGATGTTTTTGTAGCACAATGCTTGGAAGCACAATGCTTGGCACAGTGAGCTCACAGAATGCAGTCTGTGTCTGGCATGGTGGTACACACCTGTAGTCTCAGCACTTAGGAGGCTGAGGCAGTAGGATCATGAGTTTGAGGCCAGCCTGGGCTACATCAAAAAGCCAAGGCTGTATCAAAAAGTTAATAATCAATCCAAAAATAAATGGAACACAGTCTGTACACATGAGTCTCTTAGGTTTGAGCAGTTTAGTGAGTGGCACAAATGTCTAGAGATGACGTGAACTTGGGGTTGAAGCCTAATTCTGACATTTCTTAGTAATATGGCCTTAGATGTATTACTGCCAATTCAGTCAGCTCAATGGAAGCAGGGCCCAGTGCTACTCCCTCATGGGGTTTGCCATGAGGACTAAATGAAGGAAAGAATATATGGTGTTTAATAGACAATAAATAGAGGCCACTCTTTTTATTATTGCTGGTTCGGAGAAGAATGAACCCTTTAGAAACCAGGGCATTTAGAGTGACAGTATATAAATCTCTGTGTATGAAGAGGCCCAAAGTTACTGAGATATGCTTGGAGTATGTTTAAATGTACCAGGTAGAGAAGGGGGGGAGACCATCCAACATACAGTGCCATCAAAATGAGTGTGACAGATTAAATAATGACCCCTCTCCCCCTAAAGATGTCTATGTCCTTGTCCTTATAACCTATGAATGTTATCTTTATATAATAAGAGGGACTTTGCAGGTATAAGTTGAGGATTTTGAGATGGGGAGATGTTCCTAGATTATCTTGGGAGGGTGGTCTCATGGTAATCACAAGGGAATTTGTGGGAGAAGAGAGAGGCTGTAGGGTTGCAGTTGGAAGACAGGGAGACTGGAAGATGCTATGCTGCATGGAAGGTAGAAGAAGGTACCATTTGCCAAGGAATACAGGCAGCCTCTAGAAGCTGAAGAAGATGAGGACATAGTGTCTTCCTAGAGCTTCCAGAAGGAACCAGACCTGCCAACAGTTTGACTGATTTTGGACTTCTGACCTCCAGGGCTTTGTGTTAAGTTTGTGTTTTAAGCTGCTAAATTTGTGGTTATTTGTTATAGTGGCAATAGGAAATTCATACAAGGACCAATACTGAACAACAAAAAGCTCAAGTCACTCAAACAGACAATCCTTAATTATATGGAAAATTCCATCTCTGTGGGACACTGTCTTCCCTGGTAATATCAGATAGTTGAGGTATTACTGACTACAAGAAGCTATCTGTTTGGTCAGCAGAGACCGGGTCTTAACAGACATGAAGCTCAAAGCCACCTTTATGCCTAAACGTGCTGCCATTCTCTGTCATGGAGCTTTTACAACATCTGGTGGGTTGTTACCTAGAGCCTGCCCAGCTCATAATTACAGCCTGCTCAACACCTGTCAGCCAGTCGAAGGCTTCAGAATATAAAAGGCTGTATTCTTTTAACTGCACCATTTCTTATTCTTCACTTTTGAAAATTATGACTATTGAAGTTCACATTATACCTAGAGGTACGAATGAGTGGGCTCTTTCAGAAAAGCTAGTAAGTTGTATATCAAGATAACATGTCACCTCTGGTCATGTCATTCAGAATTTACACTTCTAAGTGAAGTGTGTTTCCAGGATATCTAGCAATACAACAAAAAAAGCTCTTAAGAAAGTAACAAAAGTCAGTCTCCCCTTTGGAATAATGACTGCTGCTGACAGTCACTCTAGGTACAAATAATGAGGCTCTACTAGGACCAAGGTTATATTGGGCTGTTTAGTTCTCATAGCAGTTCTTACATGGAAGGTATTATCCCTAACTTGCCACTGAAGAAAGGATGTATATATAGAGAGAGGTTAAAGAAACTCACTTGAGTTCCCATAGCCTATAAATAATAGAGTCAGGCTTAGAGCTTACTTCAGGGTGGCTTCTGGGCTTATCTTTTCCACTACTCCTGTTGTGTGTGAGATAAATGCATGAACAGTATATTGAACAGACATGGGATACTCCATTAACAGCTAACAGGAGGGTTCTATGAGGAGCTGAGGTCAGCCCAACTTTGAGTTTCCTGCTTCCCACAGTGCTGGAGCACAGATGGGAAAGATTTCTGCATCCATGGGGCAGTGCATGGGCAGAAAGCAAAATACAACGGCCCAGGATATAATGATTCTACCATTGACATGTGGGAAGCTTCATGAATCAGGAAGAGAATTCTTCAATATGTTTTATATCAAAAACAGTATGGACTCCTGTAAACATACAAACCATGATACCATTTTGCTCATAAGCACACAATATATTCTTCTTTGGTTAGACATAATGAACAACACATAGTTTGGTGCATTAGGTCACACTGATGATGCTAAAAAGCTATAGGGGCAACAGTGTCTCTTCCATTATTTTGACTATGGCCATGTAAGAAATACATTTTGCCATACAACTGTCCTCACAGGTACATAGAAAACAAAAGTTCTGTGAAATAAGACACAGCCTTATATATGTGATGAGCTCTCCAATTTTCGTTTTATATTTGAGTCTCTTTTGTCTAGTTTAATCTACTTGGGATCATGATCCCCACACTGACTTAGCAATTCACTAACGACCCATACTCCATGTGGGGGCTGCATTTACACCTCGAAAGTGCTGGTCTGTAAAACAAGAACTGGGGATCCTTACCTCCGGGGCAATATAATCGGGAGTCCCACAGAAAGTCCTGGTGGTGACTCCATCCATCATGTGTTCCTTGCACATCCCAAAGTCAGCGATTTTGATATGTCCTTCTGAATCCAGCATGACGTTATCTAACTTCAGATCCCTGAAACGAACAGGTCAGCGTCAGAGCCCTTTCCATGACATGACACAGTTTGCTCTGAAGCTGGTGAACTAGAAAGATGCCATCTCATCCCTGAAGAGTGGGGATCAGGAAATATTGTCTTTATCTCTCCAGCACCTAATGTAGAGCCTGGGATATGGTAGGTATTTACTGACAGAATGACTAAATGGCTGAACTAGTGATTCTCCATCTTGGCTGTGGCTGCAAATCCAAAGATTCCAATTTATCTAGTTCAGGAGATTCCGGTCATTTGACTTATTAATATCCTGCATAGAAGGGATGAGGGAGTAGAGACACATAGTCAGGTTTGCAAAATTATGGGTTTAGAGCCACCTTACAAGTCCCTTCGTCCTGTATGCACCAATATCCTTTTACCTACTCTTCAATTACTACTAGAAAACACTCTTCTTTCTCTGGCACCAGACTTTCATTACAGCTAACAGCCAAAAGAATTTAATAGTTTTTCCCCTGCCTTTCCCCAGTTCCCCATGTTCTTTTCCTGCTGAGCATCTATAACAGCAATTCAGTTTCTAAGGCTCCCTGACCTCTGTTCCAAATAAAAGGCAGAGGAAGAAGCTGCCGGTAGACAGAAAAGCGTGGCTTCTTATGGAAAGGAGAAATGAGATACAAAATCTAGAGATCAGAAGGTGCCTCTGGTTTGCCTTGAGGCTACAGAGAAAGTTGGGTCCCAGCAGGTTGATGTTCCCTGGGGGTTATCAACTCCATATCTGAAGTCTCTGTCACAGAATTACATGCCCACAGAGGCCTGGCAAACCTCTCCACTGTGCTACTGCTGAAAAAGCTTCCATACACACCTGTAAATGATTCCTCTTTTATGAAGAAAGAATAACCCAATGGAGATCTCTGCTGCATAGAATCTGCAAAAGAAAATGTGCTTCAGGTTTCTGGCTTGTTTGTTTTGATCTTTAAGTCACTTTTAGCCTCAAGTTCAGGCATCAGAGAGGCAGAAGAGTGTGAGACCCCAAGGCTTTCTGAGATCAGCATCACCCTCCACATTTCTTCCATTTCTCCCTCTCTCTACCATTTCATTACCCACCCACTCAAGAGTGGCACAGTTAATAAAGTCAGTGAAACATGTTTGTTTTTCTTGCATGGGGAAGGTAGTGCAGGTTATTTCCTGCCTACCAAGTAATTTCTAAAAAAATCATTTAAGGAGTGGATACCTGTTGAACTGTCAGGACTATGGCATATGGTAGAACAGAGAAAATTTCCATTTTCCTACTCATGGACAGAATACATTGGTGTTTGAAAACACACTTACTCCCTAGAAGACAAACTATAGTGCACATTTTATCTAGTTTATTCATAGCCTGAGTGCTGCACTAAATGGGAAACAGACTATGATTCATGCTTGAGTTTGCCCTTTTAAATAATTCATAATAAAAAAGCAATTACTACCATCGCTTCAAAATCATTAATAGGTTAATATTTGGAACTCAGATTAAATGCAGAATGATGTTTTAAAATGTGCATAGCATTTAGGTATCTTTGAAGTCTGAGGAGTCACAAGTCAACGCCTGGGCAAATACACTCAGGAGGCTTAAAATCCACACAATGTCTCCCCAAGCGGAGAATGGAGAAAAGAAATCCCGGATGATGAAGTACAAGCTTGTAGGGAGGCTGTGGCTGGAGAGGCTGGGATGTGGGGCAGGATTGTGGGTGGTTTTTACATTATTTTTTAACTGTTCTACAGCACAAATGCAATGAAAGGGTACTGGTTGAGGCCACTGCTCTTTCTAGCTCTGATCTATCAAGCTTTATTTTACAATGCAGGCATCTTAATGTTCTATAGCTCACAATGTTAAAGGAGGGGATAAGGGCCAGCATTTCTAAAAATACTTTTACCTTTTAGTAAAAATAAACACAGAAAAATCTCCCTTTACATTCTTTAAGCCTACTACCAAAGAGCTCCCTGTTCTGCCTTCAATTAATCTTTCCTAGGGCAGATAGATTATCCCACAAAGGCCAGAAGTAATTCTGATTTATTTTTTTAGGTTGCATATTGGCCAGAATCCTATTCATATTTGCTAACTTGATTAACCAAGGAGCATGCCCACTATGCATCCTCATTTAGAGAAATAAACTGGCCACCTGCTTAGGCTTGCTTCCCTTGAGTTTCCCGAGACTTCCTGGCCACTAAGAAACAGGATGATGGTTCAAGCATCAAAGTTCCCTTCCCTCCCCTGGGGAGGAGGCCCTCCATCTTCAATCCTGTATCAACTTCCCAATGAGACATGGGAATCAAGTCTCCCTGAAGCTCCTTTCCTCTGCCCTCTTCCTTAGCTGCCCTCCACACAGGCTCTTCATTGAGAATCCCTGTCTCCTCCCTCCTCATCTCCTACCATCTCTCATATATTCTGAGTCTCCAGCCAACTATGGACTTACCATTGCATATTCTCACATCCTTGTCTTGGAATTGTCCTCCCCCACCTCTGGGTTGCGCATTCCCTAAAGAAGTGCTACTACAATCACTCTGGAAAAAAATTTGGAGGCTACTTAAAAAGCTGGACATCAATCTACCATTTGATCCAGCAATACCACTCTTGGGGATATACCCAAAAGACTGTTACTCCAGAGGCACCTGCACACCCATGTTTATTGCGGCACTATTCACAATAGCCAAGTTATGGAAACAGCCAAGATGCCCCACCACTGACGAATGGATTAAGAAAATGTGGTATCTATACACAATGGAATTTTATGCAGCCATGAAGAAGAATGAAATGTTATCATTCGCTGGTAAATGGATGGAATTGGAGAACATCATTCTGAGTGAGGTTAGCCTGGCCCAAAAGACCAAAAATCGTATGTTCTCCCTCATATGTGGACATTAGATCAAGGGCAAACACAACAAGGGGATTGGACTTTGAGCACATGATAAAAGTGAGAGCACACAAGGAAGGGGTGAGGATAGGTAAGACACCTAAAAAACTAGCTAGCATTTGTTGCCCTTAACGCAGAGAAACTAAAGCAGATACCTTAAAGCAACTGAGGCCAATAGGAAAAGGGGAACAGGTACTAGAGAAAAGGTTAGATCAAAAAGAATTAACCTAGAAGGTAACACACACGCACAGGAAATCAATGCGAGTCATCTCCCTGTATAGCTATCCTTATCTCAACCAGCAAAAACCCTTGTTCCTTCCTATTATAGCTTATACTCTCTGTACAACAAAATTAGAGATAAGGGCAAAATAGTTTCTCCTGGGTATTGAGGGGGTGGGGGGGAAGAGGGAGGGGGGGGAGTGGGTGGTAAGGGAGGGGGTGGGGGCAGGGGGGAGAAATGACCCAAGCGTTGTATGCACATATGAATAATAAAAGAAAAATGAAAAAAAAAAGAAGTGCTACTAGCTTGAGTGGTATCCTGTGTACACCTCTGAAGTTACAGCAATGCATTGAAATTGTTGGGTGACTTCTCCAAGGTCAGGTTAGCATATGGGCTCCCTGAGGGCTAGAGAGTCTCATTCCTTTCACACTCCCAATGCCTGGTGCATTGTGGGTGTACAGTCACCATTTGTTCAATAAATGGGTGAAGGACTCCATCCATGAGGGTGGAACTGGGTGACGAGAGGATATACCAGCATCTCCATTTACTGGAAACAGAACGAAAACATGTATGGCCAGAACCCCTGGAAAGTCATAGCACTCAACTCCAAATGAGCAGAGCCACCCTGGGATATTTCATCCAACTGGGAGTACTGGGTTGACGGAATTACAGGACTTAAAATGAAGATTACTCACACTGCTTGTGGCTCCTTAAATTTTCCTACTTGCTGAATGTGGTACATAAGGTCCCCACCATTGACGTATTCCATGACGAAGTATAGCCGGTCCTGCAGACCAAGGTATACAGGTGAGTAGGCCTGCTCCCCCGGCACAGCAACTCTGTTTGCTTTCCATAAATAGAACTGGGCTGCAGTGGCAGAGCTCTGTTTGGAGCTCTTCACAATTTTTTCCCCAGCAAAAGTAATTGACACACACTACTGCGTGGAGGAAGAACAAAGTCATTCCATTGCTTATTCTAGGAATAGCCTCAAACATCCTTCTCTGTTTTCATACACATAACATATTTCTAAGCTGGGAGGAGGGTGGGGAGAATCCACATAGGTCAATCATTTCATTTTGGCTGGGTGTGGTGGCACATGCTTATAATCTTAGCTACTTGAGAGGCAGAGGTAGGAGGATGGAAGTTTGAGGCCAGCCTGGAGAACAAAACAAAACAAGCTAAAAGCTAAAGGGTCAGGGACATGGCTCAAATGGTAGTGTGCCTGCCCAGCAAGAGCTAGGCTTGAGTTTAATACCAAGTATCGCAAAACAAAAACAAAAACAACACAAAACAAAAGTGCTTCTTTATGGTCCAAACGTGTAAAAGCTGGCTGTCAATGTCTAGGAGGCCTGCCATACTAGTACAGTCACATGTTTAAATGGATGTTTCTGAAAACACGTCTGGGGTTAGGTTGAGTTTGTAAATTATACACACTTAATGATACTCACTGGGTCAGGGAGAGGGAAGACCATGAACAGAGAGGCTAATAAAATGGTCTTCTGCATCCATAATGTGCCCAAATATTGCTTTTGTACATTCTCTGTCACCATTTCATTAAGTGCTCCCCTCAAGAAGGGCATACATCGCAGAGACAAATAAGCGTGCTTATTTAAAAGGACATTGTGTTAGGCCAGATGGGAGAGATTGAGAACTTTAACATGAAATAACTAACAGCACAGCACACAGTGGTAAAAGCTGACCTCTGTTCTCTCCTAAAAAATATCTCTGTTTCATAAAGGCGATTAAACATTAATGTGCAGTATGGGGAGGAAAAGATGCTGAAGCTGATGGCAACGGCCAGAAATAGCACTGGGAGCTTCACTTCAGCTTCTCTGTCAGGAACTTTAATTTCAGCTTCATTTCTTTGCTTTGTAGCTTTCTGGAGGTTGGTCAGTGTAGGCTGGGTTTTGGACTTGGGGCTGGGCTTGGCTCTCTTTCTTCCTTGCTGTTCAGCTCTCCTTGCACTCCTGGGTTCAGGAGTTTGGGAGCTGCAGAGAGCAGGCACAAGCGACCGGTGCAAGGCTGACACACAGTGGCCGGCATCAGCTCTGCAGCCTCAACCAAGAACCTTGACACCCAGTGGAGCAGCACGGCCATTTTGACAGTCTACCAGGCAAAGGCATGGAGGGCGCCTCCCAAGATTTTTTGTAGAAAGGCATAAAACACAAAGCCAGTTTTCGACTATCAGGCAGCTGAAAATAGTAATAATTACAACTGTGACAATGATAGCAGCTGATTATTGCACCATGTTTAAAAGGGACTCTTTCTAGGTGGGAAAGCCTGTCTGGCAATGTCTCACTATGGAGGTTACCCTTCCCTTCCTCTTCACTTTCCCCTCCCTTCCTTTCTTTTTTCTTTCCCTCCCCACTTCTTTCTTTCTTTGTGTTGTGTTAAGAGCACTCAAACACTTGAGCTATGACCCAGGTCCTTTTGTTTTCATTGTGTATTTGAGACAGAATCTTCCTAACTTTGTCCAGGGCTGGCCTTGAAATCTTTCTGCATCTGCCTCTGAGTAGCTGGGACTACAGACGTCCACCACCATGCCCAGCTTAAATATTTAGATTTCTGTGGGACACTTGCAAGCCCCACAACTGTGATCAGTGCTTTTGATTTTTTTTTTTTTTTTTAGTTTGACTTTGTGACAGGGTTAGCAAACTTGCCCCAATAAAGGCTTTGTTTTTTTGCAACTACTCAACTTTGCCTTTATATCAGGAAAGCAGCCACAGGTGACAGGTAAATGAATGAATGAAACTTTGTCCCTAGAAAACTATTTCTGGATGCTGAAATGTAAGTTTCATCTAATTTTCACATGTGGGGAAATATTATCTTTTGGCTTTATTTTTTGTGACATTTCTTAGAGCTCATGGGCTGTACAAAACAGATCACAGTTTCCAGCTCCTGCTGTGTGTCATTAAACAAGAACATGCTCTTCTATGAAATCGAGTCTTCTAATGTTCCAATGTCAGGCTTGGCAGCTGAAGCAGTGGTCTTAAAAAGGCAGGACTGTGAGTTATTCTATTGCTTCTGTATCTCCCAAGTCTTAGCACAGTGCCTGTCATGATACAGCCATGGACACTGAGGCTACCCACGGGAATTGGGTCCCAGACCCCTGAGGATAGCAAAGTCATCTGATGTTCAAGCCCCTTATATGAAAGGGCATAGGTAGTATTTGCATGTGACCTGTGTGCATCTGCTAGGCACCCTGAATCATCTCTAGGTTACTTATAATACCTAATACAATGGGATGTAAATAATTGTCTTACTATGTTGTTCAGGGAATAACAATAAGAAATAAGTCTGTACATGTTAGTATGGACGCAGTTTTTCCTAATGTTTTTGACTCATGATTGGTGGAATTTATAAATGCAGAACCCAAGAACACAGAGGGCTAATTATTAATGTTTGCTGAATTAAGTGGAACGAATGTCATGTCTCTAACCAAAAGGTATCACTGAGAGGGGACACCCCAAATCTACCATTGTTGGAAGGGTCAGAGCTGACCCCATCCCCTCTGCTTGGCATGCTGCTGTCTTTCCCCAGGGAGGCTGAAACTCTGTGGTTTGATTGCTGCCTGAGGGCAGGATGGTGCTGCACCACAGAAATGGCCCAGGGTCCTTACCACCGTCTGGAAGCAGGAGTGCAGCTGTGTCAGGAATGGGGGCTTGTCCAGCAGGGCCAGAACCCGCTTTTCCACCATGGTGCACTCTACATCATCATCCTGAATCACCACATCCTTCTTCAGGATTTTGATTGCATACAGTTCTTCTGTTCCCTTACGGTCAGCAAGCATAACCTGGGAACAGACCAAGAACAAGGTGAACATTTCCAGGTAGACATCTGGTCCTGGGGGTTGGGGTGGGAGCGGGGTAGGGCTGGGATGGAACCAGGCCAGATGATAGTTCTGAGATAGTTCATGGAAATCTATAAATGTGTGACAGAGAAGTATTAAACAACTTTGCTATGGTTTGAAAATAAGTACTGTTTCCCAAGGAGCCATGTGATACAGTCTAGGAGACAGTCTAGATAGGAGGTGGGGCTTCGTGGAGATCTGTAGGTGTGTGATTGTAGGACCCCAGTTTCTCCCTCTTTTCTCTTTGTTTCCTGGCTGTTGAAGTGAATGGTTTGTTCTGCCACAAATTCCTGCCATGATGTGTTGCCTACCCAAAGGCTCAAAGCAATGCAGCTCCTTAATCAGGAGCTGGAACCTCCAAGAGCCAAAATAAACCTTTCCTCTTTAAAAATGAATTGTCTCAAGTATCTCATTATAGTGATGGAAAGCTGACTAACACAAGGTTCACATACAATTTTGAAATATTGCATGCCACCACAAATTAAATTCCTCCAGCATTTGTCTACCCTTCTAAATGGTCAAGATTTATACTCTGTGCAGGCTACTGCAACCAGGGTGCTATTTTGGCTACTAAAGGGAATATTCAACATTCTCTATCAGGATTAGTCTGGAATTATCCATCTTTTCTGGGAACATTCTTTGGGTAAAATATGACTGACCTTTGTGAACCCAGATGAAGAAAAAGGCATAGTTGAAATCAATTCCTGGATCTGTCGGGAGATTTGGGACCACAGAGGACAACAGACCCATATTACGCAGATGGCTAGTTGACCCTATTACAGTATCTCTTAATGAGCACATTGGCTTAGGATAAGTTCACATTTGATTTTCAGTTGTGAAAATTCTTCATTTGATCAACCATTTGGAGCATCTGCACACTGAACATTGGGAAATGGTTACACCCATGAACTTACTATAGCTCTTTGGATGTAGTTGTTTTTAATGAAGTGACACAGGAAATAGTAGAGGATGTACACGACAGGAGGGATCTAAACCTCAGGGAGAACTACATGGATCCAATGTCTTGACTAAGCCCCTACCCTTCTTACCTTCCCAAAACTCCCCTTCCCCAGCACCATGAGGAAATTGAAATCCGTGAGGTTCACTCTGTCAAGGTTGTTGGAAGGCTGCTTCCTGTCTTCCAAGGGGCTGATCACTTTATTACCAGCAGGGCCGAGCTTGGCTTTCTAAACAAGCACAAACATGAAAAGCCATCAATCATTTTTCTAAGGGAAGAGTGACAGCAAACAAAACATCGTAAGTAAAATTGAAGCCAGCAGGGGAGGTGGGATGGGCGAGAAAAGGAATTTGAGAGTGAGGAATTAATATTTGTTTGTGTCTAAGTGGCTAGCCTCATTCTAAGAGAAAGCTTTGCAAAGCAGCAAAAACTTGCCCTCCTCTACTCTTTCCCTAGTTAGGACAGCACTGTATAGTTAACTGAGTCAGGTCATGGGAATCTGCCAAGGACAGATGGATTCTAACTTCTGGGGAAAAGCAGTGCTTTGAGACTGTTAACATAATCAAGGAAATCAACTGTGAGGTTGTTTTTCTTATTTGCAGATTTTCCAGTTTAAAATTAATCCACTTAAATGAAACTTGCACCCAGGTAAAAAGGAGAACTCCTCTGGAGAGGATCTACTTAAGCTGTGAGGATGACTTATTGCTGCTTTCAAATGCACAGCAGGAAGAAGAGGGTTTTTGTTTTAAGTCAAGTAGAGCTCATGAAAACACACAGTGATGTGCATGGAGATCTGGTTTCATATGAAACACACTGTGTCCTTGGAGCCCGAGGACACCTGGGAAATGACGTCTGAGCTACCAGAAGGAATTCTTACACACTAGACTCATACCTCATGAAGGCCAAGGAGGGAACCACACTGTTTGACTCATGGACTGTCACTGCCAATGGGGAAAAGTAAGAGGGCTTCGCAGAAAAGGGAAGGCAAATGGGCCCATGGGAATGAACGTCTTATTGGTTCTTGAGGAAGCCCATGGAGGAACTGGAGAAGCCTAGAGTGTGTGCACAAACCCATCACCTCCCGGATCTGCATTCTGAATGTCTTCCTGACAGCAAGAGAGCTGATGACAGGGCCTGACTCCTGGGGACTAGCAGAACCTCCATAGCCACAGCCCTGATCTCAAGGGCAAGGACTCTTGCTTTGGATTCACTCTTCATAAGAGGTGCACACACCTCCCTAGGTGCAGCAGGCCTGACTAAGCATGACTCTGAGCTCAGGAGGTGTCAGAATATCACTCAAGTCAACACCTCATGGTTATGTGACCAAGAAAATGGTGAAGGAAGTAAGGAAGGTATCCAAGGGGCTTTGCTATGGACCAAAGCACTGGCAAGACTGGTTTCTACTTTTTGCTTTGAAGCAAAAGTGCCAGCACCATCTCTCCCCCATGTATCAAAAATTCTGCTTAAGTGTGTGTTGTGCCAATTCAGAGCATGCACTCAAGTCCTGAGATGTGGTCCTACATGAATGACCCTATACAAACAATACTATACAAATCTCTAGGGGAAGATAGGGGATCTGCAGGATTTTTTTCTTTCACAGCAGACAAGGCTTCTGAGCAATCATCTGGTACCCTAGAATCTCAGCAACCCTCATTCTATAATTACACAGTGAGCCACTTTGCAACAACTCTGTTAGGGAGACTCTGCCTTAGTCAAATGAACCTCTGTTATCATCTCTGGATTCCCAACTCTAACACAGTGCTTGGCACTTTGGTTGAATGTGCCCATCAGGTGCTATGCTATTGGGCAAGGCTCATTTTCCTCCAGTAAAAATAACTCACTTGTATAGGATCAAATCCCATGACTTGAGTGCATGCTCTGTCATGCTCACTTAAGCAAAGCCTTTAAAACACAGTGGGAAGAGATGGCACTGGCTAAAAGTTTTGAATATGGTTGTGCTTGTGGGAAAGTTCAAACTTTCCCATGGAAGGATTGGTAATCAAATCTACAAAACCACTGGCAAAAGACTATCAGGACAAACCGATTTGTTTTAAAGAGCACACAGGCACAGGAGTCATACAAAACATGAAATTCAGAGATGGACCAGATGGTTGAGGCTTAGATACCCTCTTCATGGGAGACAGGGACGTGGAAGGTTCATGCAATTTTAGAAGAGTAAATGATTTTTAGGGGAGAGAATGAGCCCAGAGAAAAGACAATGGCCTGGGACAAAGTTCTTCTGGGCTCTGGGTAGGATGGTTGTTTACATGGAGGGAACGTGGAGCCACTGGGAACATGGAAGACCTATGGAGATAAGACATGACTGACCTTTGCTGAGGATAGAAGGGATTTTAAGGCAGACTTGTTTGAAAGAGCCAGACTCAATTATTCAGGCTACACGAGGGCCCCTCAACCAACCTAGGCCTCCAAACAACTTGGATGACTCCAAGTTGAGAAATTTTCTGATCTGTGTCTAAACTTAAAAGGACCATCAGGAAGTCCACATTTGAGATGAGAATACCGGCTATGCCACTCTTCCGCTCTTCTGTATTAGAAGAAAAATTTTTCAGAAAGAGGCATAGAGATTACTTTTATTTTCTACTTCACAGGCACATCTGAAAATCCCACACTTACTCATGGTTCTGAGTTCTGGACACAACTGAAAGGTATCTTCACCTGGGGGAGTTGCTACTCATAGTAGGGGCAATGAAGATCTGGCCTCCACCTGCAGCACGGGCTCTGAGCAGCCATTCTGGGTTCAGTCGGCATTCTTGCACAGAATGTGTAAGTGTTCCCTTCGGTGGTCCTTCCTCAACATAATAGACAGGGAACATGGGCTGATGCAGGCCATGGGCTCCCACAATAGCTATGGAGGCCTTTTACCTATGATGCATCTCTCACCTTCATTCAGGACCATAACCTAACATTGTGAGTTCTGTGCTATGACCTCTGTGTAGTTAGGGACAAAACTTTGCCCAGGGTCAGCCTAAGACAAAAGCATTTTGCATTGAGTACTTCTGAGCTGAACTGCAGTATCATATTGAACTCTGGTCTGAGATCAAGCCACGAAGCTCAGGAAGAATGGTGGGGGAGGGAGACTCCTGCTCTTAGAAGGCGAAGGTGAACAGAGGTAGGCACTGGCTTCCTGAAGGCAGGGTGGAGTTTTCTGTGGCTGGCAGGGCAGGAAGTTGGTCAGGAAGGGGAGAAGCCAGTGTGCAGGGTTCTGAGAAGGCCAAGCTGGCCAAGCTAACTGCATGTGTGGCAGAGGGCTGACTGCTCAGTGGCCTGGTCCAGAGGGTGGGAATGAATTGCTCCCCAGCCCAAGCCAGTCCTGAGGTAAGAGTGACCCTGACATCCTCATGCAGCTGTCCCCACCCAGACTGGCATTTCCCATGGTTTCTCTGAGAAGAGCTTGCTTCCTGCACTATTTCCACACTGCTGCCCGAAGACCGTGGGGCTGGAGGACATGGAGCCAACTCCACTAAGTTTTCAAAAGCAGCCTTTTCTGCAATAGGAAACTCCATGGCATCACAACCCCAGTGGTCTGAGCCTGACTTTGTGCAAGCCCCACTGGCAAATGAAGTCTAATAAGTAACAGGGTTGGAGAAGATGCCACTGAATACCTAGCGACTGTCGCTGCCATGACAAACACTGGGGATAACCACATAGGACTCCAAGGTTGGGTCACCCGCCAGGGACAGATGCTGTGGATGGCCTTGACCTCTAGTCCATGAATTGGCTCTCCGTGAAGACAGCTGTTACTCTCCTTTATGGCACCTCAGGCTTGTCCTCAATAGCATGAAGCACCTGCTAAATCTTTACAGGTGTGTTTGTAAATGCCTCTTGCAATCACCATCCTAGGTCATGCTCAATCTACCTTCAAGTTACATCCAACATCACTCTTTTCTCATGCCCCATCCAGTGGTACCCCTGCCCTAGCCTCCTAGATGGTCTCCCTGTTCACCCCACCCTGCACGCTGTTTGCTGGAGGAGTCTATCCTGTTCTGGTCTTCCTGGCTTCCCATCTGATGGGGAGACAAAGACCGAATCCTTTAAAGGATAATGTCAAAAGGAGAACTCAGCTTCCTGCTCTTTCTGCCTAATCCTACCACTGCCTCAGCCTTGGTTCTAGCTAGCCTCATTCTGATGCTCCTCATTTTCCTCCTGCCTTGGTCTTGGTCTCACTCTCCCTCTTTTGATACATTCACCTCTGCTCAAACCTAGGGTTCAGAGTGGTCTTCCCATAGACCCTTTACCTCCCCAATCCCTTCATTCCCCCCCGCCCCAACCATGTGTTACCCCTGACTGCAGGTCTGAGAGGGCAGAGACCCAGCTGTTCTGTTTAGCCTCAGACTCCAGCTCCAGTCCCCCCTCAGGCTTCCTGGAATGGCCAACCTTGGTAGACATAGCACTGTACCCAAAGCCCCAAGCTTGCAGCTCTATATACCTGTGGACAGCTGAGGCTGTCTAGGGGTTTTCTTTGGGCCATTCCTGCACAGTGAACCTGAGGGCCCTGGAGTTACTGCCCCTTCAGGCAGCCATTCCTGCAGTCAGTTGGAGATGGAACTCTAGCCTGGTAACTCATCCTGAGTCATCTCCCTTCCCTTTCCTGGGAGGAAATCCCTTTCCTGGGGGTTTCCCTGATGAGATATTCCTCCTATGAGAGGCTCTGCCTACCCCAAGTCCAGCTGGGATCCTATTCTCCACACTGTGTCTGGGGACCATTTCCCCTGTGAACCTGTTCTCAACTCCTATGGCTGAGTCAGCTTCTGGGGACCCTAAACAAACAGATCCACCTTCCTGGACTTATCGATCTGTCCTCCTTACTAGACTTGCTGCCTTAGAAGATAAGGAGCATCATGTCTTTCTTAATCTTGCGTCTTAACAAAGCACTATGCTAGGAACCTAATTAGAACTCACAAACTCTCTTTTATTCATTCACTCACATAAGACTCATCAAGTGCTAGAACAGAATCTGCAGAGGCCAACTTGTAGCTAGCACTGGGAGGCCAATGACAAACTTTAATACAGAAAAGCAGTTGTTATCAGGTAGGTGACTGCAGATAATCATGCCTGGACTCTACACCCTGTGTATTCACATGTAACCTGAACTCTTTTCCTCAAGCCATTACTGCTAATGGCTTGGTAGTGCTGGGTCAGCTACCAAGTACACAGAGGGCATTCCAGACTATAGGGAGGTTGGCTGCACAGTGACCCTCTCCAGAGGCC